AACATATGCTGCTTGAGCACTTTGACTGTCATTTTGATTTTGTTGCTCATCCTCACGAAGATTTCCGAGTTCAATTATCCTCCCACTTGTCATTTTGGAAAGGTTCTCCTTCTCCAAAAAGACACCATCGCGAGCAACAAACACTTTATTCTCTGATTTGTTGTAGAAGTAATACCCTTTGGTTTCTTTTGGGTAGCCCACAAAGTAAACTTTATCATATTTGGGATAATGTTAGTCAGAAATCAATTTGTTGACATATGCTTCGCATCCCCATATCTATAGAATAGTCAACCTAGGAGGTTTGTTTGTCCATAACTCATATAGAGTCCTTTCTACAGCTTTCAATGTAGCATAGTTCAGTGTTAGTGTCGCACTTAAAAGTGTGTGTCCCTAGAAAGAGATAGGAAGATCACTAAGACCCATGGTTGATCGTACCATGTATAACATGGTTCGATTTTTCTGTTCGGATACTCCGTTCCATCGTGGTGTTCTTGGAGGTGTCATCTCTAAAAGTATACCATGATCTTTCAGATGGTCATCAAATTCTTTGCTCAAGTATTCACCACCACAATTGTATCAAAGGACTTTGATTTTCTTGCCAAGCTTATTTTCCACTTCACTCAGAAATTCTTTGAAATTGTAAAATGATTCAGATTTGTGCGACATTAGGTAGACATAGCCATATCTACTATAGTCGTCTGTGAAAGTGATGAAATATCGATGTCCGTTTCTTGTGGCGGAGCTTATTTGTCCACATACATCGATAAGTATTAGACCTAATAAGTCACCTGCTCTTTCTACCAACTTGGAGAATGGCTGCTTTATCATCTTGCCTAATAAACATCCTTCGTAATTATCAAAAGATTCTAAATCAAAAGAGTCAAGAACGCCTTCTTGAAGAAGCTTCTTGATACGTTTGATGTTAATGTGGCCAAGACAAAAATGCCACAAGTAAGTTTGATTCAACTCCATGTTTTTAGCTCTTTTGGTAGTATGATGAGTGGCATTTATGCCACTTTTTCACCCCTTATCTCTAAGGATTCTCCTCTCATTTGCACTTGCTTGAGCCTCTTTAAGCGTTTTTTACCTTAGTTTTGCTTTTTCCTTTCTTTTCTCGTGTTTGATTTCTTTTTCCCTTTTGTTGGTTTTTCAATCGTCTCTTCGTTGTTTTGTAGGTTTTTTGCCCTTTCGGATGAACCCTTGGATGCAAGGCGAGCCATGGAAAGGAAATTTGATGCTCAAGGAAGGCACTATAGCAAGGAGCAAAGCCGCGGGCGCAGAGCTTTAGGCCGCGGGCGCTGGTCCCTGTAAATGCAATCAGCTCTAACTTTCTGTAGATGCCGAGCCGCACCTCAGGAGAGGGCCCTCCTCAATGGCCCGCGGGCGCGGCACCTGGAGCCGTGGGCGCGGTTCTTCGAGGCTTCATTTCACCTGTTACCTTGTCGCGGCCTCTCTTCAGCAGGAGAGAGCATCTCCTTTCTTTGGCCGCAAGCGCGGGAGCAGAGCTGCGGGCGCGGGTTGGTGGGTTAAGCAACTCCGTACCCAGGCTGGAGAGGGCGCGACAGCTTGATAGAGGGCTCTCCTAGGCGTTTTATTTCCGTCTTTTATGATGCATATATATAGCCTCATATTTCAACTTTGTATTATCATCTATCTTATTAACATTTTAGCCTAATCTAGAGAGAAAATAGATTGTTATTCAAGCTTCCTTTATTTGTATGCACCTTTGCTCAAGTTTTAATCTTCCATTAATCAAGCAAGAATTCAAGTTTTCATCTTTTATTAATCCTTTCTTTAGTAATCTCTTCTCCTTTCCTTTAGTATTATTTATTTGTTTTATTGTTACTTATTCTTGTCAATCTTGTTAGCTTATCTAGTTGTTATTGATTTCATATATTTTAATCATCTTTTGTTTTGACTTTCTTGAGTTTATTTCTAGTTTTGATATTATGTTTAATCTCCCTTCTCTAGGCTAAACTTTTAGCTAGGGGAAGGGGGTGGAAGATATGATTTGATGTTGGATGAATGATGATGGTTGGATTGAACTTATGCCATATATTGATGAAAGACATGATTTTTATTAGCTTGGGAGTATTGTTGCACACTATTTGATGTTTTCTAGTTTAAATGCATGAAAGTGATTTGAACTAGACTAGGATCACCTCTATTTTAATGATTGCATGAGAATGAGTTATTAAAGTGGAGTTTTTTGGATTGTGCTTCTTTATTCTCTTGATTTGATTGTAACTAATAGGATGCATGAGAATGATCCTTATTAGTGTAGACCTCTTTCATTGATTTGCCTAGACTATTGCATGAGAATGAATTGTTTAGGTAGAATCTCGTGTTCTTTGGCATATGTTTCATGATAATCACCATTATTCTCTTCTTTATAATCATATTGGACACCCCCGTATCCCTAGCATCATTTTCTATTGATTTTAATCATCATTTTCTTTCTTACTTGTAGTTTTAGTGTTCTACTCAACAAAACCAACAAAAAAAAATCCCCTTTTCACTCTTGCTTTAGTGATATTTGATGTTGAATTAGCGTGCTTCCCTAGTGGTTTGACCCTTTAATTGCCACTAACTAGTTTAGTGTAGGTTTAGGTATTATAAATGATTAATTTGGTTAGGGTAGTAGCTTAACGACCTATCTATCCGCGATCAAATTTTGGCGCCGTTGCCGTGGAGGCGGCTTGTTTACCGAATATTATTGCTTTTGTTAGAGTCATTTTGCTTTCTTTTCTTTTTCTTTTTTTTTGTTTTATCATCCTTGTCATTTCTAATTGTTTTCTTAGCTTTGGTGATTGCTTAGGAGGTCTAAAGGAGCACCCTCACATCAAATTGACCACGAAATCAACCGAACCATGAGACAAGTCCGTAGTCTTTATCAAGACGAGGGAAGAGGTTTTGGTGATATAGTTGATAGTGAGAGTGATACTTACTTTTCAAGTTCACCACGCGAATCAATGGCGGGACAAGAGAATGATGTTTTGTTTCATGAGTTTGGAAATCCGGAGGATTATGAGCTCACGGGAGGGATTTTGCTACCCGTCACAGAAACCAACTTCTCAATCCATCCACAATATACTCGAATGGTCCAATTGGAGCAATTTTATGGAAGTGCAAGTGAGGACCCTATTGAACATTTGGACCGATTCCTTGAATTATGCGCAATGATGCAAACCAATGAAGTGAGTCAAGACTACATTCATATGCACCTTTTCTGGCAATCTCTCACCGGACGAGCAAAGAAATGGCTAAAGAAAGTAAAACCTAACACTCTCACATCATGGAGGAAGGTTGTAAAGGCGTTCTTGAAGCACTTTATCTTCGAAGAGAAGGCCGCCGAAATGAGAAGGAAAATTGCATCATTTGAGCAAGAGGCTGATGAAAGTCTTGGTGAAGCATGGGAGAGATTCAAAGAGTGGTACAAGCATGTCCCCACCATGAGTACCTCAAGGGTTGCTCATGCAGTTTTTCTACGACGGATTGGAGCCCATGTCAAGATCCAATTTGGATGCGGGGGCTGGTGGTCAATTAATCAAGATCCCTCAAAATCAAGTTGAAGCCACAATAGAAGAGGTGAAAAGAATTACTCTTGGGGGGGCCGAAGAAGAAACGCTCCAAACAAAGGTCGTATTTATGAATTGGAGAAAGTTGATCAATTACAACATCAAATTGATTAACTAACAAAAGGGTTTTCCAAGTTGAACTCCAGTGTGAATGCAAGTTTAAGTGGTGGAGCAAGCTCTTCTGAAGTTAACTCTTTCTCTTGTCAAAATTATGGAGGAACAAACCATGATACATCCTATTGTGGAGATTTCAGCCTCGAACATGTAGCGGCATACAACACAAGGCAAGAAGGATTTAGAGGAAGCGGCGGTGGAGTAGCTTGGAGACAACCACCACCCGGATTTGTACCTTAACCTCAACAATGGAACCAACAAGCTCAACCTTCCTATAAATCCAACCCTCAATATCAAAATTCACCTCCACCTCAACCCCAAAACCCAAGAGGAAGCTATCCAAGGAACAACCAATACAACAATCAAACCCAAGCACGTCAAAGAAACCATCAAGAACAAGCACCTCAAGCGGAGGTAACTCAAACTTAACTCCTCCAAGCCATGCATGCGCAAATGCAATCTTTTGGGAAATAAATGCAAAAGATAATAGCTCACAACAAGATGGTTGATTCACAACTAGCTCAATTGGCCGAGAAAACTCCTTTCAATTCACCATCCACTCTACCCGGACAACCACAACCTAACCCATCTCACAATCAAAAACCCGATACATGCAAGGCGATCACATTGAGGTCGGGAACTTCCTATGAAGGGCCAAATGAAGGGGATAGTGAGGAAAAGAAGGGAGGAGAGGAGAGTGTGAATGAAAACAAGGGAGGTGAGAAAGAAAAGGGTGATGAGATAGAAGGAGGTTCGGAGAAGAAGAAGCTTGACAATGAGAAGGCAACTTCAATTCCTAGTGAGGCTAGGAATCTTGATGGACAGGTTCCTTTTCCTGGTCGGCTTGCGGAGAGGAAGTTGAATGACAAGTTCACAAAATTTCTTAGTGTCATGAAGAATTTGCATATTAACCTCCCTTTTCTTGAAGTTGTGACACAAATGCCATCTTACTCCAAGTTCCTCAAGGATATTCTCACCAACAAGAAGAAGCTCAATGATGAGCTTATCACCCTTCCACATCAAGTGAGTGCTCTTGTCCAACATAAGATGCCCAAGAAGGAAAAAGACCTGGGATGTTTCACTTTGCCAGTGAAAATTGGGAACATGGAAGCTAGGGGAGCCTTAGACGATCTTGGAGCAAGTGTTAGTTTAATCCCTCTATCCATTGCTCAAAAACTCAATATTGAGATGATCCCTACAAGGAAGACAATTGAATTGGTCGATCGATCGGTGAAATTACCTTGTGGATAGCTTGAGGATGTTCCAATTCAAGTGGGACACATCTACGTTCCTTGTGAATTTGTAGTGATGGATATGGAGGAATATGTTAACACTCCTTTGATTTTGGGACGTGAAGCTCTTAAAACTTTGGGGGCGGTCATCAATTGCAAGAACAACACCATCACTTGTGAAGTGGCCGATGAAAAGATTGTCTTTGAATTTTCTAAGTTGCTCAAGACCCCCACGGTTGAAAAATGCTATAGAGTTGATGTTGTGAATGAGGAGCTAGATCGTTTGGGGAGGGTCGTGATGAGGCCTCAAGATCCAATGATAGAAGCCCTTACATGCAAAGAAGAGTTCCACTCTCAAGAGGCTAAAGAATTTTTCATGGCAATGGAGGAATCCTCAAAGGAGGAAGTACAACAACAAGTTGAGACCGAGCTTGAGTCCAAGGAGGAGAAATTGGAGGAGAGTTCTAAGCCTCCTCCCAAGGTAGAACTCAAGCCCCTTCCCCCTTCTTTGAAATATGCTTTTCTTGATAAGGAGGGAAAATACCCTATTATTGTCAATGCTACCCTAGATGGTCTTAATTTGGAAAAATTTCTTGTTGGTTTAAGAAAATATAGGGATGTGATAGGGTATAGCATTGATGATATCAAAGGAATTAACCCTTCTTTATGCATGCATCGTATTCATCTTGAAGATGATCATTCCACCTCCATTGAACCTCAAAGAAGGTTGAACCCCAACCTTCAAGAGGTTGTGAAGAAAGAAATTTTGAAACTACGTGAGGCGGGCAGCATCTATGATATCTTCAATAGCAAATGGGTTAGCCCGGTTCATGTAGTTCCAAAGAAGGGTGGGATGACCATAATCAAGGATGAAAAGGGAGAGGAAATCTCCACCCGGACAGTGACCGGGTGGAGAATGTGCATTGATTATAGGAGATTGAATAAAAACGCCAAGAAATATCATTTTCCTCTCCCTTTCATGGACCAAATGCTTGAAAGGCTTTCTAACCATGATTTCTTCTGTTTCTTGGATGGGTATTCAGGATTTTTCCAAATCCCTATCCATCTAAGTGATCAAGAGAAAACTACTTTCACATGTCCATATGGGACATTTGCATACCGAAGAATGCCATTCGGATTATGCAGTGCTCCCTCTACTTTTCCAAGATGCATGACTTCCATTTTCTCTGAGAAGCTTGAAAAAGAAATTAAGGTTTTTATGGATGATTTTAGTGTTGGTGGCTCGTCTTTTGACACTTGTCTTTTTAACCTTGAAAAAGTTTTGAAAAGGTGTCAAGAGGCGAGTTTGATTTTAAATTGGGAAAAGTGCCATTTTATAGTTGAGGAGGGCACTTTCCTCGGCCATAAGGTTTCAAAAATTTGCATTGAGGTTGATCCGGCCAATGTTTCGGCGATTGAAAAGTTGCCCCCTCCTACTTCCATCACGGGGGGTACGGGCTTTTCTTGGGCATGTCGGTTTTTAGCGGAGGTTTATCAAAGATTTTTCTTTAATCGCGAAACCTTTGACCGAATTGCTAAAAAAAGAGGTTATTTTTTACTTCAATGAGGCTTGGCTTGAGGAGTTTCGTAAGCTCAAGGAAGCTCTCATTTCTTCTCCCGTTGTGCAAGCTCCGGATTGGAGCTTGCCTTTTGAGCTAATATGCGATGCTAGTGACTTTGTAGTTGGTGTCGTTCTTGGTCAAAAGAAACAAGGAAAATCATGTGTCATCTACTACGCAAGTAGGACTCTAGATGAGGCTAAAAAAAATTACACAACAACAGAGAAAGAGATGTTAGCGGTAGTGTTTGCATTCGATAAGTTTCGATCCTATCTCATATGCTCAAAAGTTATTGTGTACACGGATCACATCGCGTTGCGGTATCTCATGGCCAAGAAAGAAGCAAAGCCTCGCTTGATCCGTTAGGTTCTCTCTCTCCAAGACTTTCACATGGAAATGAGGGACAAAAAAGGAGCAGAGAACTATGTAGCGGATCATTTGTCTAGGCTACCATTTGAGAACAAGGAGGATATACCGATTAATGATGAGATAGGATTCGAGGCTCTCATGGCTTTGGTGTCAACTTCTACCCCTTGGTACGCGGATATAGCCAACTATCTTGCGTGTGCAGTCGTTCCCCTGGAGTACTCTTCTCAACAAAAGAAGAAGTTTTTCAAGGAAGTGAGAAGATACTTTTGGAATGACCCATACCTATTCAAGCAATGTGGAGATGGCCTTTATCGGAAGTGTGTTCCAGATCATGAGATTCAAGGAGTTATTGAGCATTGCCACTCACTACCATGTGGAGGACATGGTGGTGTTGACAAAACAGTGGAAAAAATCTCTTAATCGTTATTGTGGTGGCCGACAATGCATAGAGACGCCCACCAATTCGTTGCGCAATGTGATTGATGTCAAAGGAGCGGAGGCATTACTAAGAGGGACGAAATGCCCCAACAAAGTGTTTTAAAAGTTGAACCCTTCGATGTTTGGGGGGTGGATTTTATGGGGCCTTTCGTTTCTTCTTGTGGGAATCTATATATCTTGGTAGCGGTCGATTATGTGACCAAATGGATTGAAGCCATACCCTCACCTACCAATGATCACAAGGTTGTGCTTAAGATTCTAAAGAAGATCATTTTTCATAGGTTTGGAGTTCCAAGGGTGCTAATTAGTGAAGGAGGCTCCCATTTCGCCAAAAAGCAGTTTGAAGCTCTTCTCAAGAGGTATGGCGTTCATCACAAGGTTGGATTACCTTACCACTCTCAAACTCAAGGACAAGTGAAGGTCTCAAATCGTGAAATCAAAAATCTTCTTGAAAGGATGGTGAACAAATCAAGGAAAGATTGGTCTCTCAAACTTGATGACACACTGTGGGCTCTTCAGACGGCGTACAAGACTCTAATCGGCATGACCCCCTATAGGTTGGTCTATGGAAAGGCTTGTCACTTGCCGGTTGAGTTAGAATACAAGGCTTGGTGGGCCATCAAAGAGCTCAATATGGATTTATCGTTGGACGGTGAGAAGAGATTGCTCAAGCTCAATGAACTTTAAGAGCTTAGAGATGATGCTTATCAGAGCTCAAGGTTATATAAGGAGAAGACCAAAAAGTGGCATGACCAACATATTCGAAACAAGAACTTTAAGGTTGGAGACAAGGTTTTGCTTTTCAACTCAAGGCTTCGTTTGTTTCCGGGTAAACTTAAATCAAAGTGGTCGGGTCCTTTTGTGATATCAAAGACTACTCCTTATGGCTCCTTTGAGTTAGATGCGGATGGTAACAAGTTTATGGTTAATGGTCATCGTTTAAAGCATTACTTTTACAAGGAAGAAGTTGGTATCATCGAATGTATAATGCTTGATCCTTTGGATCCCAAGCATCCCACTTGAAGAATTTTTCTCATGGTTAAGCTAGTGACCTCATAAAGAAGCTCTTCTCGGGAGGCAACCCGAGTCTCTAACCCTTGTCTTTTTCCTCATTTCTTGATGCTTTGTTATTTTCCTATCTACAATGTTGGATAGTTATATTTTTGAATTTTGATTGTGTTGGAATTTTTGGTATGCTTTGCCTAAGCATGATGGCATGGTGTTTAGTGTGTTTTGAAAAGGGGTGTTTGTACATATTGTGTTGAAGAGGGGTGTTTAGCCAAAGAATACTTTGCATATTGTTTTGAAGACGCAATTACTCCTCTGTCAAAGAGAGAAAGGAAAAAAGCAATTCAATGTGTGCATAAGAAGGTATGAAGTCACGCCCAAGGAGAGGCCTCTCCAAGAACCCGCGGGCGCGGCTAAAGAAGGAGAGGGCGCGGCTAAAGGAGGAGAACAGAACTCCAACTTTCGGTAGATGCCTGGCCGCACCCCTGGAGATGGCGCGGCTCAGGACCCCACGGGCGCAGCTTGAAGACCCGCGGGCGCGGCCCCTTTAAGACCCGCGGGCGCGACCCGCTGGGTTTTCGATCCCTTTTTCTCTTAAAAAAGTGGAAACCGTGCTTTCTCACTCCATTTCTCACTCTCTCTCTAATAACCCTAAAACCCCAACCCTAACTAATACTAAATCCATCAAATTCATCCTAAATCTCACAAAATTTCCTTATCATAACATCAAATTCATCAACAATTTACATTTTCCACCATAAAAAATCCAAAAAAAAAAAAATTGATTTTCCACCATTGTTGCTCCTTCAAGCATATTGGAGTTCAAAGATCTTGGGGGCTAGTTGGAGGTGATTCCTTGCTTCATTGTTGGTATAATCCCTTTCTTTCTAGTTTTTATTGAACTATTTTGCAAATTGGAATGAATATCATGACAACTTTTTGTGATATTTGTTGGAAAATTGTTCATGTGTGATTTGGTTAATTTTGTTGTTACTTTTGTTCTAATTTTTGGTTGAGTTATTTTGTGAGTTGTTTGTTGGAATTATTGTTGTGTTCTTGGTTAATTGGTGTTGCCTTGTGAAGTATACTTGCTTGTGGTGGTTGGTTGGTTATTCTTGTGGTGGTAGCTTGGTTGTTCTTGTGGTGGTTGATTGGTGCTACTTGAAGCTACTAATTTATTTGGAGTAAGGTGTTGGTGTCGTTTTCTTGAAAAAAAAAATAGAAGAAAAAATGGAGATTGGAAATAGCTCAAAGAAGAGGAAGAGTGGAAAGGAGCCACGAGTTTCATCTTCACAAACACCTCAAAATGTGGAACCCACACCACCTTTTCCTCCAACAAAATTCTCTAATCAAAACCACAAAGCCAACTTTGATGCCCTCCAATCATGAAAACTCCTCCCCACCAAACACTACAATAAAACCATAACCACCAAGCTTGGCATTGACGAACAATTTTGGTTCTTTTTCAACAACCTTGGGTTAACCGAATTCGTCTCAAAGCCATACAACAATTACCGTGAACCCACCCTAGAGTTTCTCGCCTCTTTTGAGAAACATATCTCGAGGAACAACAACATCTCCTTTTCCTTCCAACTCTTTAACAAGAAGGAAACAATGTCCCTCCACAAATTCAATAAACCTTAACCTCAACCCCAATGTCGGCATCCTCTTACCCGAATATGCCGAACTCCCAGACTACAACCCCCGCCGATGGTGGAAGCATATCTCCCGAAACAACAACTTTGATGCAAAGTATTATTTGGCTAGTGAAATCATGCACCCCGCCTTGAGATTGCTACACCGTATACTTAGGTACATGGTCTTCAATAAGAAAGACTTGGGGAAGATAAATTTGGAAGAAATTAGGATCCTTTGGCTTGCATCAAGGACGAATTTGGGGCATAGAGTTAACTGGTTCATCTTCAGTCAATGTATCGAACCCATTGTCTCGGGTAGCAAGAGTGGGGAGATCCATTGCGGAGCTGTGGTGACTAGGTTGGCCATAAAGTGTGGCCATGAGGAAAAGTTGAGGTCATGCACCATAGTAGGGAAAAGGGATGGTAGTGATATTTTGCTTGATGAGAAACAACTCAAGACAATGCAATTCATCCGGGGTATCAAAGGGGTTGAGGGAATTTGGAGTCTCCTTGTATCTCGCCAACACCATTTCTTCCTCCTAAGGCTGGAGTACACCTCCCATACCAGAGAAGGATTTCCACGCCCTTGGTGGGTGAGGAAGGACTCGGGTGTCCTCCCCAACAATGTGCAAGTGAATTTGAAGGAGGTGTTCGAGGAGGATGATGTGATAGGAATGGAAGGGGAAGAGGAGGATGAGGTAGTGGAGCAACAACAACAACAACAACTTCAATAACAACAACAACAAGGGAGAAGAAGAAGGCCACAACAACAACAACATCAACAACAACCCGACTTCCAACAAGACATGGCGAGCATGAGGGCTCAAATGGAGAGCATGCAAATTTGCATGCAAGGTATGTACGCTTCTTACCAAAACAATGCTTTTCAAACAAAAGCCTTATATGACTCGAGTGTGCGTAGGGGTGAGGTCACCCCTCCGGTCAACTATCCATACACACCGGCCAAATTAAACAAGGGCCCGTGGCTTCATGGAATGGTGACAACCTCCCCACGTACCCCTACTGACAGGGTGTTGAGAACCCCAAAGTGCCTAGGCGTAACTTCCCCGACAAGTCCGGTCATTATGATTATAGAGTCTCAGGTTGAAATGAATACAGAGGTGACCCTGACTACCACTATGTTCACCCCGATCACCCCGCACCTTGTGTGCAACCCCAGCCCTTTGACCAGTAGACCCCATCCCAGCTTGACCTTTTCATAGGTCACTATGGGTTTCCCCCCGGTTATACAGGAGGATGGGACCCTTATGGGCCACCCCCCACCCCCCTAGGGATAATGGTGTCGGCCCTAGTGGCCACTAGTTCCCCCTGGTATGCATGTTCCCCCCCTTTTGGTCCCTCCCTTGTCTTTTCAATTGCATGTGAAGAATCGAGGACGATGCTCTTATTTAGTGTAGGGGGGGGCGGCGTTTGAATCAAAAGGGAGTAGTTTTGAGTCAGTGTGGGGGAAGGCATCAAGGACTCGTGGGAAGGTTTGAAAAGCTTTTGTTGGATAATTTTGTTGTTAAGCGACGGGTTGTCTAGCTTCTTTATGGGTCTAGTTTGTTGTTGTGTAGTATTGCTTTTGATGATGTTGATGATGTTGTGATGGTGATGGGATGATGATGATGATGATGATGCTGTGATGGTGATGATGGTGATGTTTTGATGATGTTTTTACGATGATTTTTGTTGATTTTTTTACGATTTCTGATGATTCTTGAGCTTTGTGTAGGTGAAGATGCTCCCAAGAAAAAAATCCAAAATTCCCGACAATTCAAATTCCATTAATCCAAACTTTGTAGATAACTTTTTATTTATTTTTCTTTATTTTTTTTATTTTTCTTTGTATCTATAACTTTAGTCTTTTTCTTTGGTTTCTAACTTTTTTTTATTTTTCTTGTTTTGTCATAG